AGGACCCTGGGATCATGACCTGAGCCGAAGGCAGAAGCTTAACGACTGAGCCACCCAGGCACCACCCAGACTATCTCAATCTTCAAAAATCTCTTCGGAAGTAAGGGGCACCTGTTAAGCATCTGACTCTTAGTTTCTGCTCAGGTCGTGTTCTAGGGGATGGAGCCCTGCCTGGGGCTCCTCGAGCAGCAGGGAGTCAGCTTGCCCCTCTCCCTCTGCTCCTCCCCCTGCTCTCGCTCTCTATAAAAATCTCAAAGAAAAAGAAAAGTCTTTTCCCTAGTGGCTCAGTCAGTTAAGGGTCTGACTCTTGATTTCGGCTCAGGTCATGATCTCAGGGTCTTGAGATAAAGCTACCCCTTGGGCTCTGTGCTGACCAGGAAGTCTGCTTAAGATTCTCTCTCTCCCTCTGCCTCTCCCCCTCACTCACGCTCTCTATCTCTATCTCTAAAAAAGAAAAAAATCTTAGGACACCTGGGTGGCTCAGTCAGGTAAGCAGCTGCCTTTGGCTCAGGTCATGATCCCGGAGTCCTGGATTCGAGTCCCGAATAGGGCTCCCTGCTCAGCCTCCCTGCCGGCTTCTCTCTCCGCCTCTCCTCCGCCCAGCTCATGCTGTCTCTCTCTCTTTCTGTCTGAAATAAGTAAATAAAATCAAAAATCAAAATAAATCTTTTCTTAATCTTACACAAATGAAGTAACATTATGGACTTCTTTTTATATGGTCATTTCTATTTTCCTTCCCAAGGTGGTAGAATAAAATGTTTTCTGTTCATATTTTTCTTGCCACGATTCTACAACCATCTTATTAATTTGTCCCTACAACTAAAGAAAAGTCTGATAATTAACCTTCTATTTTTTTAAGATTTATTTATTTTATTTGAGAGAGAGAGAGAGCCTGAGCAGAGGGAGAGAGAGTCAAGCGGACTCTGCGATGAGCACAGAGCCTGACACAGGGCTCGATCTCACAACCCTGAGATCATAACCTGAGTCGAAACCACAAGTCAGATGTTTATTCGACTGCACCACCCAGGCTTCCCTGATAATTATCCTTCTATATGTAAACCTAGATTTAAACAAAACTAATCAGTGTATTAATTTATGTTGTTTATCGATGCAAAGGACCAAAAACAACACTAACGATAGAGTGAATGATGCAACCGACCATTATCTTATACCATCCTGTTCTTTCTTTAGTATACTGGTTTTTTTGCTTCATCTATAAAATGGGCATAGTAATTTCTGTCTTAGAAAGCCGTGTAGCCAAACAAGACGTCTGTCCTAAACATAATAACTCAACACATGTTCATTTCCTCCTTTCTCCTTTTCTGGCACCACAATGTTTCCCCAAAATTCAGAGTAAAGTGGAGAAATTCCAAGGTCTCTCCTTCTTCTAAGTGTAAGGAGCAGGGGGCATATTTAGGGGGCAATTTTGTGAAACAGAAGAAAAATGACTTTCTCCAGAGAGGCGCCCCCTTCCTCACTCTCATCCCTCCACTGTCCACAGTGGGGCTTTGAGATGATTTCCTGCTTAAAAAATTAGAAAATAGGGGTGCCTGCCTGGCTCAGTTGGTGGAGCATACAACTCTTGATCTCGGGGTTATGGGTTCAAACCCCATGTTGGGCATAGAGATTACTTAAAAAAAAAAACCATAATGTGTATATTTGTATCTTGTATTTAAAGGATATGTTAAGGATTTTAAGGTCATGTGAAGACAATATGTTCCATTACACTATACACTATACTATATATCACCATACCCCCAGGAGGATTGCCCCACACCCTTACCAGGACAGCACTTGGCTTTGAGCCTACACACGGCCCTTCTCTTACATGGCCCAGTAGCAGTGTTATTCAGGTTCCTGGAAATCTTGTTCTTTTTCAGCAGACATGGGAACCCACACCTCTAAGCCCAACCCAGAGCCTCCCTTGCACTCTGATTCACAACATCCACAATTCAGAGATGCTCAATGTGTCAAATTCACCCTGCCTTTTCCTGGTGGGGTCCACCTGAGAATTTAGCAAGAAAATGTTCCCATTCTGGAGGAAGCCTACCCTCCTGCCAGAAATGAATTGGAGAAGTTGCCCTCAGTAAGGTCTGAGATCAGGGGTCAGATCAAAACACGAGAAGGTTGGTGAGTGCCACTCCCAGGCAGCCAATCATCACAGAAGTCTGAACTTTGCAAGAGGAGTTTCACTGCGGATGCGATGCAGCAGGCAACTTGGAAGAACTGTCTTTGTGCTGTGTTCTTAGCCAAAGCTGGGAAAAGTTAAGGTATTAGGCACCAGGAATGATTGCAAGATTGCAAAGCAAGAGTTAAGTGGAACTGAGAAGTGTTCTGATTTGTCTGTTGATTTAGGCCTTTACATCCTCATAGGCATATATTTGGTTGCCAAATCCCATACTCCAGGTGGAGGGAGATTCTGTGGCTTCAGTTCCTTCAGCTGTTAAGTGACTTCTCAGAAAAATCCGGTTTCTGCTCACATTTGTTCATCACCTGGTCTCAGTCTTGTGATGCTGCCCCTGTACTGGCTCGTTCACACAATTTGCTGGGGATCTGCTACCAATCATGTGCTCAATAGGCCAGATCACTGGTTTTTGTTCCCTTATTATCTGGTGGGCTGAATCCTCCCCACCACCCCCCTTCTGGCATTTTTAATATGCCAGTAGTCTGGTGTTCACCTTTTTAACATGTCCAGCAATTGTGGAACATGTCCCAGAAGCTGGGTTTCTGGTTCCTTTGGACACTTCCAGCAATCTTTGGTAACTCCATTCCATCTCTTCCCCTCTTCCTCTCTGCCTCTCCTACACACGCGTACCCACCCACACATGTGAGATTAGAGTGAATTAAATCCATATTTTACAAGTGTCTTTGATCAGGGGCCTTTACATCTGAGGTGTGTACAACGGAGCAGGATATGGTGGTGGTTTATTTTAACTAACTAATGAATTAATTTTAATTTATTTTAATGCTATTCAGATGGTTAGGTCATAAAAACTTACATTCAGTTCCACTGAGTGGTTTGGGCAAAGGGAGGACTTTCTTGTTCGGGCGGACACCTAGTGACCTAAAATAAACTTTTTTCGGAGAAGGTAGAACAGCAGACACATGAAGGTAAACTGTGGGGTGGGGCGGGGAGGCAGGGAGGCTCTGGGTACAAGGCAAGGCAGGTTTTATACTCACACTGCACAACTGAGCAGATGACACCTGAACACGCTTCTCTCCCGGGGCTGTACTACCTACTCCCGCTCAGTGGCCCCACAGACAGGAATCTAGACCTCTTTGATGGAAACGAGGCTACAATTTCAGAGGAACCAAAATTTTGAGAATTTAACTTCCTTAATACCTGCAGAATTCATCTGCTCCCCTGCACCCCCACGACCTTTGCCTTTTTCTGTGCCTCCCAACTTCTCACGCCCTGCTTTCGGCAACCCCGGAATGCGCTGAGATTTCGGTTTTGGAAACTTCATTCTGGCAGAACAAAGGACGGAGGGGAGGGGACCGGGGTAGACTCAGGCCAAACGTTTTGGGGCTCCCCACGCCTTCAGGATAGAGTTCCAACTCCTTCCTGATAGTTCCTGCCACTGCCCGCCCGCCTTCCTCGCAGGCATGGAAATACTCGCTCTTCCAAAGAAGGTCCTCAAGCGGTTCACAAAGCCCCGCGGGGAGGGAGCGGGAGGGGCATCCGGAGGCCCCGCCCACCAGAGGGCACGCTGGCGCGCTCGGTGCGGCGACGGCCATCTTGGACTCGGGCAGCCCGCCCATCTCTACGATCTTCCGATTTGTGGGGCCAGTGGCGCGGCGGCTGCGCGCGGTGGGCAGACAGGCGAGTTACACCCCCTCCCCGCCTGAGCCTTTGGCGGTCCTGCGCTGGAGACCAACGGCCCCGGTCCCCACCTGGCCGGCCTCTACATAAAACCTCGAGCCAGTATCCTGGTGGCAAGTGCCATCTCCCGCCCTTTCTACCTGGTGACTCTGGGCAGATACCTCAGTTTCCTTTATCTGTAAAGTTGGAGCTTAAGTCCCAGCCCCACCTTCCAACCCCCCAGGTCACCAGCTATAATACCTACCGATCGGGCGTGTATGATAAATTCTCAGCATGAGGCCTGGCACGCAGTGTGTGTTCCCTGTAGGTTGTCTAGGAGCTTTTCCTGCAGATTGCCGGGCGACCTGTAGCCACCACCCTTCCAGCCACCTATGTTGCCGGGGGCGGGGCGCGCGGGATGGCGGGGGAGGCTTGCCGAGACTGCAGTCTGTATGTGGACTCTTTGAAGACCCAAGTCCAAAGGGAGAGGGGATTGGCAAGATGCCCTCAGGGCACTGTCAGTGAAGCCCCTAAGTCCTTTAGGACTTGCATGTGACCATTTTGGAAGGGTGTCAGAAACAAAGACCCGGGTGCCCAGGACTGGAAAGACTTTGGAACATTTGAACGCCTCCGTGCTTGTTATTTTTATCACCCCTAGTTGCCTTCCCGTAGGGACTCTGATGCAGCACAGAATTCCTGGAATGAAAAGCCCTGTGTGTGTGCTAGTTGTGGGGAACATGGGGAGGAGGGGGCTGAGACACTGTGTCCCAGGCACAGCCAGGTGTGGGAGAGAAGGGCTTTTTGGGCCCTCAGGGGTGGTGGCTCCGGGGAGGGGCCTTCAAATCAGGCCTGAGGTGGCCTCTGGGAGTCCCCAGACATGCACAACTGCTCTACCAGATCCACAGCCAGAACCCAGGGTTTGGGGTCCCCCAACTTCCTAAGGGGTAGGAAACTTGCCTGGGACACAAAGATGAGGGAGGAGCCTGGAGAAGGGTCTAGGAGAGGTGGGGAGGGGCGGAGGCCTTGTAGGGAGCTGGGGCCTGGGAGAACCACACCCAGCCTTCTACACGATTGTGAAGGCCTACTATGAGCTCTTATTCAGTAATAAACCGTGTGAATGCCAGGCATGGCCAGGTTCCCCCGGTCCAGCCTGGTGGAGAGAGGGGTAGCAGAGGATACAAAAATTACCACACAGGAATCAGGGGATTGCAGTTTATTTTCAGACACACTCAGGGTAAGGGCTGGCCAGTGGGCTCCATTTGCATCCCCTCCCTGCATTTGGCTTAATCAAGAACTTCTCTCTCCTTACCCCAAACCTCTAGGCTGTGCAAGATAGACAAGACATTCCCACCCCCACCCACAGGAGGGGGTTAGGCAGGTGAGGAGTGTGGAGAGTGGGGGGTGGGGATGGGGGATAGAGTTCAAGTATTCACAGTTTCCCCATCCACACCCCCAGATTACACTGTGCCCAGGCCATGAGGGAGGAGCCCAACTCTGGGGTTCCTAGTGACATTAACAGCCCTTTTCTCACTCAGAAACCTCAAGATGAGCTCCTTACCCCCTTTCCCTGACAATAACAAACCAGTCCTAAAGTCTATAGTCTGGGCAAGGAGGGGACCTTAGCAATGCACTTACCCAAGACCCCTCCTTTCTTATCTGGGGTGATGGGGGCAGGGTTAGCTTCACTTGTAGTGAATAGGTTGGGTTTAAGTGGTAATAGGTGAGGAGAAGGGAGAGCACTGAGGATCTCGGGAGGCAGGGAGGTACTGATGAAGTTCTGACAGCTCTGGTCTCCATTCCTATCCCACACCCAGGCCCAGAATCCCTGAGAGTCTACTGCAAAGGCATTATGGGGTGGGGGGAGTGGGAGCCAGGGGAGAGCTTAGGAAGGGCCAGGACTGGGCTCCAGGCCCAGCAATCAAGCTCTGACCTTCTAGAACAGCTAAATCCTGGGGAACACAGAGTGGCCTACTAACCCCCACATCCCAGACATCCTGACTTGGGCAGAGTGGTGGGAATGGGGTGTGGGGAAGAGTCCTTCCAAGGGCATTCTAAAAAGATATAACCATTAAAAATTTGGGGGGAAGTGACTTTCAGCCTCTTGCTTCCCCAAGTTGTCAATCTCCCCAGCGTCCAATAGACAGGGCTGAGGGAGTCCCAGAGAGCTGAGGAAGAAGGCTACAGCCCCTCTCTGACAGGATGGGGCCCAGAGAGGGGGCCCATTAGCACCATGCAATGTTGGGGCACCCCGGCAGCCTGACTGACCCCTGGGCAGGGGTCCTCCGAAAGCTGGAGTGCCCACTTGCTAAAGCTTCTGTGTTCTTGAGGGAGGGCCCCTGCAGGGGAGGGGGTGAGGGGAAAAGGCTTGGCTGAAGTCCAGTCAGGGGTGTCTGCTAGGACCCCAAAGGGCCCCTCTGGGAGTCATGATTTGAAGAATCTTCGTACCACAAACTGGCCCAACAGAACCACAGACAGAACTATCAGCACGTTCAGGATGGGGCCATTTCCCAAGTTCAGGGCTGCCACCTGCCAGGAGAGACGGAGTGGTCCAGAGGGGCCGAGAGCAAATCCGGGCAGGCCGGGGCTAGGGCGGGGCCAGGAGAGTGGCAGCACTTACCCAGCCGCCCCTCTGCGCAATCCACCGGGCAATGCAATGGTTCAGCATGAAGTCGGCCACGAAGCGGGTCACCTCGCCCAGGAAGCCGGTCAGGCCATGCTGGTAGACGTGTAGGGCCAGGCGGTAGCCGAAGCCCAGGAGAGCCACCACTCGGCCCCAGTTGATGCCGCTCTCAAACAGGCTGCAGGCAGAGTGGTGATCCTGTCAGTGGAGACCCCCAGAAGGCCCTGCGGCCTGCTCTTGCTCTCCCACTGTCTGCTGACCACCCGCCCCGCTCCCAGCTGGAAAGCAGAACGGCCGAGCTGTGAACCAAGGTGGCGGAGGCTGCCCCAGCCTGGCCTCAGTTTGGGAAGAGCCTGCATGTCTGTGAAAGGAGAAAACTCAGAGGGCGTACGAGGGCGATGCTGCCGCTGGGTTGTGGCCACAGCGTGGTGGGCGCTGGGGGACAGAGGGCAGGGAGGGCGGCAAGCAGACAGACGCAGCAGGGAGATTACCTGTGGCTGTTGCTGCTGGCCTGGCAGCCCGAGAGACAGCAGAGAGAGAAGGACAAAGAAGTTAGGACAGGTCCCAGAATCCAAGTGGGGCAGGGGCGGCTTCGAAGGACGGGGGCGGGCCGTTTGGGCTCTGAGCGCTAACCCTAAATCTGTCACCTAACCCCCATCCTCACCCCAGTGTCAGTCACCTTGAGGCCGACTCCTAACCCAGATTTAACGGCAGACAACACCATCAGTACGGCCACTGTTCTGAGCCCACTTCCTCTATTTTATAGACACGGGGCCTGAGGGCCAGAGGGCTTCACAAAGCCCGTAAGCGGCAAAGCTAAGATTTGACCCAGGCATGTGGTCTCTCTCACCACACCCGACTGCCGCTCAGACACCAGATCGTAGCAAAGGGAAGCCACTTCCAGGACATGAGCAACCTGACCGTCTTTGGTAGGAATAGGATTCCGAATTGGAAGGACAACTGTGTGTCAGCAGGGCTGGGGAGCTCTGGGGCCAGCCCCATCCTGGGCGCCTCTCTAGTCCCCGATCTACCCGGTCAAGTCCTCAGTGCTCCAGCTCACAGGAGCTGTGAGCTTCTACACTGAAGTGGAGGAGTCTGGGGCCCAAGAGAGAAAGACAGGGGCCTGAGACCACGCGTGAGCTAACAGCAGATCCGGGAACGGCACACACGTCTCTTGACGCTGACAGAGAAGCGTGGCTCTCCCATCCCGCGGGCAGGACACAGTGTGAGGGCGAGAGCACAGCAGAGAGGCCGGGGCCAGGACTACCTCGAGGCAATCTTGGTGAAATACTCATAGGCGTTCTCTACTGTCGGCTGTAGGTGCTGCAGCATGGTCTGGAACTCGGAGTCGTAGCGCTGGTTGATGTCGTCCCCGATGATGGCGAGCTGGCGACCCACCTGCCCCATGGTGCTGGAGGAACGGGAGCCGGGTAGGTGAGCAGGCCCAGGGCAGGCAGGGCTGGGACCTGGGCTCACGGAGAAGGGGTTCCGCCTAAGATGCCCCCAGCCCTGTGGACCCCTCCCTGGAGGTTCCTGACAGTGTTCAGACATGAGGGCCGAGCCCAGGGTCACGGGACAGGCATGCGCTATAAAGGGTGCAAGGTCCCAGATGCGGGTGGAAGCCCAAAATGAAAAAGGCAATGATGGGAGAAGGACAAGACCCCCACCCCCACCCCCCAGGCCTCCCCAGTTCCCCGGACCTGCAGGGCAGTGACTCCATGTGAGCCTCCACTTCCCTGAAGATGGCCCTGTGGGCCCAGGGGCCTCTTGCTCACCTGCTAGGTTCTAGGGACAAGGAGACCATTTCTGGGTCAGCAGGTGCAGCTGCCCCCTCAGCCTCCTGCTCCTGCCGATGGCGGTAAAAAACATAGCTGCGAAAAACCTCCTCGGTGTCCCGGGCTACCTGCTCCTCTGAGGATCAAAGCCAGGAGTCAGGGAGGAAGGGCTGGACCAGGCAGCCCCATGCTTTGTGGATGGGTCACTCTTCCTCAAGGCCTCAGCCGTCCTGCCCCCCGGACAGAAGTGTCCCTAACTCTAGCCCTTGGTTAACAGTTAGTGCTTACTGGGTACAGGATCATCCTCACAACAGCCTTGTGGAGTAGGTGAACCCCAGTTTACAGATGGGGAAGCCAAGGCACGGGGTGTTTACATAACTTGTACGAGGTCACACGGTTAGAAAGAACCAGGACATAAGCCAGGCATGTGGGATTTTTAGTGTGCGTTTTAGTGTGTACAGGTACCCAGCCCTTATGGCTCAGGGAATGTGGGAAACAGAATTTGAAATTGTAGCTTTGGGCCCAGAAAAGTCACAAAGGGACATAGTGACAGACGGGGCACTGAACCCAAAGCCCAGGGAGCAGTCTGTAGTGGGCTGGGGACTGCAGGCGTCCCCGATGGTCCCCTGGGAAGAGGAAAGGAGGGCAGCCATCTTACTTCCTCCCCAAAGTCTTAACAATCGCTTTTGCCAGTTAGCAGGCCTGACGGGGTGATAAGCCTAGGAACTTCCTTCTTTCTCCTACTGTAGGAATAGACTAGCCACACCCCACTCTTCTGGCCTCTCCTCGCCCCTTCCTGCTCTTCTTCCTTGGGATGGCGCTGTGCCCACCTCACACTCCCTCCCGGGCCTCTCCCAGCCTCTGCTCCTGCCCCCCAGGCCCAACCTCCTCCCTACTCCCAGGGCTTAACCTGGACTGCACTCCAGCTTCTGAGGCCACTTGCACCCACCTGCACCAGGTGGGGAGATGCTTTTCTCCTTTATCCAAGGTAAGTGAACGGGGACAGGAGAGCCTGCCTGTAAGTCCTGCCTGGCCCTGTCCACTTCTGCTCTCACCACCCTCTCAGACAGCCCTGGTCGTTACGGGATGGGCGAGGAGCAGAGAGACCCTTACCGGAAGTAGAAGACGGGGCCGGCTCTCCACACCCCTGCCTGGGAGGACCTGGGCCTTGCCCAGATGCCATTTCTCAGGTCCCAGTGGAGGACAGGGTTAGCCTGTGGGGCGACAGGTGAGAAAGAGCAGCGATGGGGACGGGCAGGGGCTGTTGAGGAGAGTGTCCCACAGCCACAGAGAGAGGAGGGGGGCCCCCACTCCCCAAAGACCCCGTGGTCCTAGCCCCAGCCGCCTCTCATTTCACCACCTTGGGTCCCTGTGGCGCCTACTGGCAGAATCAGAACTTCCTGAGCATTTCACTAGCAATCCTCCAAGAGATGGGGAGAAAGGCAGGGCGGTCGGGATTCATACCTAGGGACCTGGAGCCTGCAGCCAGGGCCCTGGGGAGGGGTGACGGCCGCAGTGGCCCGGGGCATCTCAAGTCATAATTCACCTCACTCCTGGGCAAATGAGGTGAGTTTTAGATGCTGGGGGTTCTTTCCGCTGCTCCTGGGGCCTCCTGCACTCTACCTAGCACGCGCTTACCACAGGATTGCCACCTTCTAGCCAATGACCCATGAAAGCTGTGCTCGAAGGTCCCACTTCCCCTTGGCTGGTCAGAGCATGCCTGTTTTCCAACTCAGGCTTGTTAGCCACAAACGTTTCCTGAGCATCTATGCCTTACTTACTTCGATCACTCCTCCAGGGGTGTCAGACACTGGAAATGTTACATTACCCCAGCAAGGCAAGCACCATCATACCCATTTTACGGGGGGTGGGGGGGAAGTGAGGTACCAAGAAGTTAGGGCCTGAGGGCCACATAGCTAATCAGGAGTCAGGTTGGCGATCTGCATTTTCATCAGTTCATACCCTCAATACTCATTTAAGATTTATTCTCAGTTTGTGGTTACCTGTTGACATGCCACCTGTGCTCTACCCATTCCTGCCTTGCAGTGAGCTGAGGAAGCCGTCTCCACAGCTCCCCTGCCCCCCCACCTCACACATGTACCCCGCCACATACCTGCTCTCCTGTCCCCAGCCTGTTTTCCTCTTTGCTCAGTCCTGGCCACAGCCCTCATCTGCTCTGTGAACCCTCGTCACAGGGAGTATTTCCTGGACGTGAGCTGTTTCACTTTCAATTTGCACCTCTTCATACCCACCCCCCCGAAAGCTGCCTCCATCAGCCTTTTGGGGAAGTGCCCCTCCTCCTGCCCCTGTGGAAGGTGCAGTCCTACCCCAGGCCAGCACAGCCACCGCCTTCTCCCAGGGAGGACCTCAGTACCCTCCCTGCCTTCCTCCTGCCTCTCTGGCCCGGGGCCATTTTCAAAAGTGTCCCAAGGCGAGAGCTCTCAGGGAAGGGGTGAGGGAGAGCTCTCCACCCCTCCACCTCCTGGGGGCAGGGATAAGGGGGAAGGCAGACCCTCCCCTCCTCCAGCCCTGGGTGCCAGCATGAAAGAGACCTTTGCTTGGCACACCCCCATCCCTCCTGCTCCTTCCGGAACAAGATGCCCTTCCCTCTCCCCTGGTCCCCGAGCAAAACCAGCACCCCCAGGACAGCAGGGCAGGACTGCACCGCCAGCTCCATCCACCGCTGCCCCAGGGGCTCGCTGCGGGGGATTAAGTGGGACGGCCCCCGGGGCCAGAGGCCTATGCCGCCCTGGGCCTACCCCTGCCCTCATCCAAGTGGCCAGACTTCCTGGTAAGGGGAGCCCCCTGCTCTCCACTTGCTGGGCCTAGGATGTTCCCCAAGGGGGAGATGCCTGGTTGGGCAGCAGAGCCAGTCTAAGGCTCCTGGGGCACAGGAAGCACGATGAAAGTTCTCTCCCTGCCCTTGACCTTGGCTCTGACCTCCACTCCCAACCCCCCAGACTGCTAAAGGACCTGGTTCTTTGGCACCCAATTCTTTGGCGCCCAGGGCCAGGGCAGGGCCGGGGACGGGGTGCTGGGGGAGCTGTGTGAGGGACAACCAGAGGGAGCCCTGGCTGGATCAAGCCCCCAGCAGGGGTTGGCGAAGCTGCCCAGGCAAGCCTTCAGACCTCCCCCTCCCCACCCGGCTGCCTGCGGGCTCCCTGTATCCCCTTGGGCCTGGGGCCGCCGAAAGCTGGGAGGATGGGCCAGACCCTCCCACCTTACCTGCCGGGACCCTAGCCCAGGCCCGGATGGCTCACAGGGCCGAGGCCAGAGATCCTGAGAGGCCAGCAGCTACTCCCGGGGGGGTCGGGTGCCCAGGCGCGGCTTCCAGGAACAGGCGTCAGCGCAGTCCTGGCGTCTGGATGCAGCCGCCGCTTGTCCCCACGGGGCCCTAGGGACCCGCGAGGCTGTGGTGATCCTAGAGGTGCCGGCAGCTCCCGGCTCCAATCAGCTCCCTCTAGAGGAAGTTGCTGTGTAGCCGCCGGATGCGGATGCAGGGCCTACAGCCTGGGGGTCGGTCTGGGCTCATCCGCAGAGGAGACGCTCCACCCCCCACACTTGGCCCCAGTCAGGCCCCAGTCAGGTGGCATGGCTCCCCTTCTCCCACTCCTGGTATTTGATCTTCACTCCCTTTCATCAGTCAAAACCAATAAAAAAGCCAGGATGGCAGAGTGTCTTAAGCACTACAGTGTGGCTTGCACTTGGGCGATGGGCCGTTGTCCCGTTGAATTTTTTCAGTAACCCTTGGAAGTGGGTGCTGTCCACTACACCTGTTTTACAGATGAACAAACTGAGGCTCAGTGGGTTTAAGAAACTCCCAAGGTCACTAAGCTGGGTATATAATCAAGTCTCTAGATGCCATGGGGAATAATAATACTACATTGAGACTCAACATGCAATTAAGACCTGCACAAGGCACCTTGGTGGAGATTCAAAATCCTGAAGGTGATAGGCAGGTAAACAGAGATGAAAACAGGGGTGTCTGGGTACCACCTGGGCACGTGCCAGTGGATGCCGAGAGGAGAGAAAAAAGAGGGGAGACAGATACTATCTGGCTGTGGGGAATGGTTCTCCAGGGCAGAGGCAGCCCCCGGGACCAGGGAAGGACAAGCCAGCTGGAGAGAGGTGTGTGCAGAGGCCCCAAGAGCCCCTGCCCCCTTCTCAGTCCAGGGACCCCCCCCCAGCTTCCTCTGCCTGCCCCCCAGCCCCCATGCCTCCTGAAGCCTCATCAGCTACCCCAAATCTGCCTCCCATACCTCCTTCCCCTACCTCATCGACCCGCTGCCCTCTCTGCCCCCAGCTAACCCCCGTACCATGTCTTCCTCCCAGCCTCCCCATCACCCCCCCCACCTGACCTTTGCCTTCTAGAACTCCTGGAAGTTTCCAACTCCTCCTGTTCTTAAGCAGTTGGTGGGGGTGGCTGCTGCGGCCCCTCCCTCTGAGTCAGGGTCTCTCTCAGGATGGAGGCCCCAGCTCCAACCCCTCAGTCCCGAATTTTGGGCCGCTCCTCCATGTTCCGCTTTTTCCGTAGCCTGGTGGGGAGCAGGGGCAGCCCAAAGAGCTCTGACAAGGCCCGGCTGCGGAGGCGGGCATGCTCCTCACAACAGCAAGATGCCACCCCCCTGATGATGAACCGCCAGGGAGGAGTAGGGAGGAAGGAGCCAAGGCTGCCCACCACACTGCCCTACACGCTGTCTGTGGCCTTGCCACAGCACGATCCCTCAGGGCTAGGGATGGGGGACGTGGGGGCCCAGACCCCCACGCCCATGGAGGTCCTGAGGGTGGGGGCCCAGGGTGGAGAGGTGAAGCCCATCCTGTCCAGGGGGAGCCAGGAGGTGCTGGGCAGCCCGTCTGAGAAGGAGGAGGCAGTAGGGGAGGCGTCCGGGGATATGAGGATCTCAGACAGGTAAGGGACTGGGCTGGGTGGGTGGCGGGCAGGGGCCTGGGATGGGGGTACTGGGGCAAGGATATGGGGCTGAGATGGGAGGACCCAAATTGAGGAGGGCCCAGGAATGTGGGTCTTCAGATGGGTAGAGGATGGGAATAAGGCCCCTCCCTACCCGGGTCGGGAAGGGACAGATGCATCAAGGGTGGGAAGGAGCCTGTGGGCCGGCGGTGGGCTGGGGGGGTGGGGGTGGGTTTGGGGGGAGGGAACCAGAGATGGGGTGGGTCTTCCCACAAGTCAGGAGTTGTGGGTGGAGGCACCAGAGATGAGAGAGGGTCAGGCTAGGCACTGGGTGGGGGGGGGGGGCGCCAGAGCGAATCAGACTGCGTTGCTTCCCAGCTCCTTCCTGGTCCCCTCTCCACCCTGCCTTCCCTCCCCACTCTCTCCCTCCTGGCTCCCAGTCCCATTTGGACCTGGCGCCACTCCTTGTGAGGACGGGGGCCCACCCACCCCTGTCTGATGAAGACCCCAGAGGACCAAGCGGGGAACTGTTGGAGGCAGGAGGGTGGAGGGGTCTGAACAGGGCCTGTGGGTGGGCCTTGAGGGGTCTAGGGGCGTTTAGGGAGCCTTTGCCACATCTCTGGCTCCACCTGCCACCCCCATCTGACTATGTTTTGGGGTCAGGGACCACTTTGCCCAAGCCTTGGAGGTGGAACAAAGATGCCCACAGAGGGCCATGGGGCCGCTGGAGGTCAGCCCCAAGAACTTCACCAGGGAGGAGGAGAAGGAGTGTCTGCTTGACGGTGAGTGTGGTGGCCACAGGCATTGGGGCAGTGCCAGAAATAGGCCCTCTTCCTCAGACTCCTCAGGGGGGTGGGGCCTGGAAGGACACAGAAGGGTTTGAGGGAATGCTGGGGGCAGGCTGGCTGGACTTGAATCCATTCCATTGCACTATGCCAAGCTGTGGGAGGGGGGCAAGTTGCTCAACCATTCTGCATCTCTGTTTCCTTATCGATAGAATGAGAATGGAACCGTATCTACCTCAGAGGTGCAGTTGCAAGGAGTCAATGAGATGCTCTTTGTAGAGTGCCTAGTACTGTGCCTGGCACATAGGAGTTGTTTGCTGAGGAAACGAGGGACCTCGCCCTCACTTCAGCCCACCCAGTGCCCCTGCCCTGCTGGGCCTAGTTAGGCCTGGGCTGTCCCTTGTTCCTATCAGCCTGTCACTGACACTGCCCTTTCACAGGAGACCTCAGGCTGGCCTCTGCGAAGGTGGGAGCAACTCCTTGGAACCGCCTCCTCACCTTGTACAAGCAGCTTCAGAAATCAGCCACGGCCAAGGTCTGTGGAACCAGGCTGGCCTGTAGGCGGGGGTGAAGCCTGGGTGGGGCTCCTCCCCACATTTGGCTGGGCCTCTTAACCTTTGGGGAGCTGTACCCTCCTGCTTTTTGTTTTATCTGGGGGTGGGAGTGGGGCTGCAGGCTTGGGTCCCTGTCCTCCTCACCTGATCAGCGATGGGGCATGCCCTCAGTTTCCTCTCAAGGAAGGCTTGCCTGATGAGGAGAAAGGCAAGGAACAGGAAATGGAGGAAGAGAACAGCTCATTCAATCTCTGCGTCCCAGGCATTGTCACCCTGCAGTCACCACTGCATAAGACTTTTAGGTCAACAGATACAGTGGGTAAGTGCGGGGCACAACCTGCCCTCAGACCAGGGGGCTCCCCTTGGCTACGGCTCATGGGTGTGATACCAGTTCTTACCACCAGGTGGGACCAGAGGACCTAAGATGACCACTGAACGGGGTGGGGGGGCGGGGGACCCGTGGGTGGCTGGGCTGGTGAAGTCTAGCTAGTCCTCCTTTCTCCAGGTTTGGGAGGCCATGAGGTGGGGATGGTGACTAGGGCTTGCGCTCCAGGAACATCACCCTTTCCCAGCCCAGACTTCTAACTTGTTCGGTGCCCCTGTGCTGCCCAGACATGGTGAGCAAGGACGGTAATAGCCTAACGTGATCACAACAAGCGTGATCCCTGTTGACATTTGCGTAGCCATAACTATGGGCCAGACCCTCTTCTGAGCATTTTTCATGAAATGCCATATCACAACTCTGAGGTAGGTCCTCTATTATAATCTCTACCTCATAGTGAGGAAGCAGAGGCACAGAGAGGTTAAGTAACTTGTCCAGGGTCACACAGCTAGTACGTGGCACAGCTGTGACTTGAACCTTGGCAGCTGGGGTAGTCCCAGATCCTTGCTCTTGAGTCCGTGGCTGGTGGAAGGTGGGGGGCGATGTCTCCCTCTTGCATGCTCTCCCCAGGAGGTGAGGAAACTCACACTCAAGCATGCAGGAGGGAGCCCACTGGCCAGTGAGTTTCCTGGGGAATTCAGGGAGGTAGGGAGGTGGTTTGTGGCTGGCTCCAGGTAATGGCAATGTAGGGGCCGGGGCTGGGGGTGACCAGGGACTGCCCAGGGCTGGGATGAAGCCCGGAGAGCCGGAGCCCCCTCGTCTCCCTTCCATCCCCAGCAAGTTGCTCCACCCTCTCCTGCCTGCCCCATGCCCATCTCTCTGACTCTCAGGTTTCGTGGAGTCGGAGTTAAAGAAGCTTCTGGCAGTACAACGGGAGTCCCGCCTCTGGAAGATGGGCAGCCATGAGGGCCGGGAGCTGCTGACCCAGCCAGAGATCACCCTGGAGGAGGCGGGCATTGTGGACGGCCAGGTATGCCCCGGCCTGTCCCAGACCACCACCCCCTGCCTGAGGGCACTGGAGAAAGTGGGGCCTCCTGCCTCCATAGGCCCCTGGCCCTGGCTAGGGAAGGCAGAATCCCTTCTTCGCGGTGGTATTTCTGAAAGTGGGAGCCTGACCCCCTGCGCCCACACACTTGTCCATCCGCCTCTCCGTCTCTTACTTGACCCCATAATGTTGCTCTTTTTCTCCTTTCTCTGCCATTCTTGGCCACACTTACTCCCACAAACACTCGTAGGCTACCCGTCTGTGTCACCCCACAGACCACCCACTGCCCACCCTCCTTGACATTGGCCTTCAAGGTCAGGCCTGTCCCAGCTTCTCTGAGCGCACATGGATGGATCTGTTGTTGGAAAATGTGTCGATGTCCTTTTAAGTTACTTTGCATTCATTCATCAACTCATGCTTTCCTTCCGTGGACATTTGGCCCTGACAGCCTATGTAGTTTCCTTTTGTAGTAAAGTAAAGGAAAGAGCGTAGGGTTCAGAGGCCAAAGGCTTTCGTTGAAGCCCTGCCCTAGCCTGGATTTGCTCTGTGGCTTTGGATGCAGGCCTTGGCTTCTTTACCTGTAAAGGGAGCCTGGTGGGAGGATCAGACAGCACTTGATCCTAGCCAAAAGGCCAAAGTGACTGAAGGATCAGACAAGAAGGGGGATGCCCACCAGCTGTCAAGGGCACTGTAGTGTTAGGGATGGGACTTACCCCTCTGGGGGAGTGAATACCAGAATCGCCTGCCCCCTGGGCACTGAGGGGCAGCCCTCTCATTGTCCTGAGCCCACAGGCCTGAGTCACTGGGCCCCTCTGTGCCCTAGGGAACAAGGCTGTGCACCGCATCCTAAACCACAGGGGTGGCCCCAGCTCTGGAGGGGCCCTGGCTTTTGCCTTTTCACACTAAAGGGATCTCTCGTTACCCTTCCACCCTCTTCTCCCCCCCTCCCCTCCAGAACCACCCCTGAGCCAGTCTGCCCCTGTCCCAGGGGAAGGGGTCACAGTCCTGGGGTAGCCTGAGCAGCATCGGGGGTCTCTAGAGAGTTTCTGGGTAGTGGCAGGTCGGGGCCCAGCTCAGGCCTCACGTGGGGGGCAGAGCTGCCTCGGGAATACCTTCCTGCTGTGGGTGTTTCGAGGGTCCTAATCTCATCACTACCCCTACTTTCTCCTTGTCTGCCCTCAGGGACGCCAAGCTGAGGGGGAAGGTAGCCGCCCCCCAGCCTTTGGGGAATGCTGGGGACCTAAGGGAGGGGCGCTGAGGCAGCTGAAGCACCACCCTAGGCTGGAGGGAAGGGTGCAGAGCCCCCTTGATATGGTGTCCAGGACAGAGGTGAGGGAGGGGAAGGCTTGGCTTGGGTGCCTGACTCCTGGGGCTTGGCATTGTGCTCCCCCTGACTCAAGCCTAACCTCGCTTCTGGGATTTAGAGTTGGGTCTTCTAGATGTCCGGACCTCCCTCTGACCAGGATCCCCCGAGGCACCTGGCATGGAGCAGTGCACAGAGGGCCTGTGACCAAGGGCAGCAGGATGGGGCCCTGCCCCCGTCCCTGTAGCGGGGGCCCTCCTGCATCACCCCCCGGGGACCCTTTACCTGGACCCCCCCCCCGACCAAGTTGGAGGGAGAAGGGTCCCTCATTTAGCAGGAGGGAGGTGGCTCAGGGTTGGTGGACTAGGCCGGCTGTGGGGACATGGGGGAGGGTCTGGAATGGCCTCAGGGTGCTTATCTCTGTGGGGTAGGTGGGACGCTTCTAGGGGTACAGAGCAGGAAGGGAGAGCCCAAAGGTGCTGAGGCCTCTTTCTTCACCCATTTCTGCCCTCAGCACTTGCTCCTGGAGGAGATGGATGAGATGGGGAACTGGCCTCCAGAGTGAAGCTGGTGCTGGCCCTGAGTCTGCCCTGCTCCCGCATCCCTTCAGCCCGAGTAGGGGTTTAGCCTCCCTCTCAGGAGGGCACATCCAAGGCGCCCCTGGGCCCAAGGGGTCTTGAGATCAATGGTATCCATGTGTCTGCAGGATGGGCCTGCCCAGCAGAATGTCCCCACTCATCAGACTCAGGCCTGTGCTGTTATTAATAAAGCCCACTTTGACTTCGGCCTCCTTGGCTCTCTCTGGACCCCACCCCTCGGCCTCAAGCTAGGAGCAAGCTCAGTTTATCCAGGGCCTCAGTCTAGCCCCCAGAGTGGCAGCCCCAATGGCAGAGCCCGAGTTCCAGTAGAGGGGCCACAGCGGAGCATCTGAGCTGGAGGACAAGAGGTTTGGTGCACCTGACCCGGGGTCAGAGTGCCAGGAAAGCCCCTGCTACCACAAGACCAGACCGCGTTAGTAGGAGCATCCCTGACTTCCCTCCCTCCTAAGTTCCCAGGCCAGGCTCGAGACCTCATGGGGAGGATCCGGGAATTCTCCAGCAGGAAGTCCCTGCCCAGCCAGCACAGGGACAAAGCCAGGAAAGCGGCCTTGGGGCCGCGGGGACCTGCTTGGAAGGCTGGGCTGCGGGCAGGTAAAGGGCCCCCTGGGGGTGATGCAGGAGGGCCCCCGCTTACAGGGACGGGGGCAGGGCCCCATCCTGCTGCCCTTGGTCACAGGCCCTCTGTGCACTGCTCCATGCCAGGTGCCTCGGGGGATCCTGGTCAGAGGGAGGTCCGGACATCTAGAAGACCCAACTCTAAATCCCAGAAGCGAGGTTAGGCTTGAGGCTGGGGGGAGCACAATGCCATGCCTGTACTGAAGGGGGCACCCTCATACCTGACTTTTCGGGGATCCAGTGGGAGGGCAGGCCAGGCCCAGTTTGGACACCAGGAGGTGTTGTTTGCCTGGAATCCTTGACTCAGGCTCTGGGCTAGGGGCTGGTGGAAGGGCCATCTGACTGTCCCCTGAGTCAGCCAGGAAGCAGCCTTGTGACACTGTGACTCACCTGTGCCCTGATTATTTCCTCCCACAGTGTTGGCTGTTGGAAAGGGCGGGGGCCTCAGATAGTGGCCTGTGGGGGTTCCCTGGTTCCACCTGGGCCCTTTGATCTCCCCCAGCACAGATGTAGCACTGCCCATGGACCCCGTGGAGAGGACACCTGCTCTCTCTCCCGCATCCTAATAAGCCTATGACCTTGGGCCAGGCCATGCCCAGGCTTGAGTGGGAAATCCCAGGGCCCAGAGCACTGCAGGACAGAGCTTCTGCCCTCCCCCATTGCCCTCTGAGTGGGGCCAGCCAGTGGAGTGCACAGGCAGTCCCACATTGGCTTGGGGTAGGCTGGGCCCCCGCTGGCAGCTCGGGCTCCTTGGCTCACCTGTGTGAGCCAAGTGGCCACTGCGGAAGGAGCACCTCATCCTCAGCCCCCAGGAGGGTGGGGTGTGGCTGCTGGGGAGGGAGGGGGCAGGACCCTGGATTTCGGACCGGAGACTCTGAGGTGATCACTCCCCTCTTTGCTTCTCTCTTTCTGTAGAGTGAGGGTCATGCCACCTCTTTGTCCCTCCCTGCCCCCTCCATGCCCCCAGCATTGCCTGTAAACCACAGAGAAGAAGGTCTGGGAGGCCGGGCCGTAGCCTGTGGGAGCAGGAAGAGCAGGAAGGGGGTCTGCGCACTGGTGCAGGCATGAGGGCCTCGTCCCAGCCCCTTGGAGTCCTCGGTGGGTTTCTGTGCATGGGCCCGGTTTGACACTCATGGGTGACGAAGGCAGGGGTGACACGGCCCAAGGACCTACTGTGGGGGAAGACCCAATGCATGAGTGCAGAGGGCTGGGCTCAGGCTCACAGCCCTCAGGGAGAGAGCCGGGCATTTCCCAGAGGCTTCCAGGGACCACTGTTGGTGCATCTGTGGGTCAGACCTGAGGACCAGGTGGCGTTGAAAGTGGCCCTCCTCCTCCGGGCGCACACAGCAGGGGAGGGCTGCCAGTCGCTGCCCTTGGGTTGGGCCCTGCACCAGTGCGCTTGGCTCAAAGGCCAGAGGGCTCTGGAACCCAGCCAGGGTGCCTTTCTCTAATTCACTCCAAAGGGCCAGTTGGGTTGGCAGTGGCCCTGGGCTGGCCGGCGGGTTTGAGGGGAGCCATTACTTCCGGAACTCGGCTCCTTTCTCGGTGTCCATTACTTCCAGGTCTCTGCTCCTTTCTGGGTTTCTTGTCTCTTCCATCTTCTGTCTTTCCGTGTTGTCCCTTCATGTGTGTGTCTCTGTTTCGTGCTGCCCCACCCCTCACCATGCTTCTCTTTCTGTGTCTTTGTCTCTTTCTCACTGTATCTCTGGTGGGATAGAGGTAAGAAAAGCAGCCCCCAGATTATTCTGCGGGCATTTTGGGACCTAGAGGTGGCTGAAAGGAAGTGGAAGGGGAATGGCTGGGGGTGGGGGGCAGATGGTCCCAAGGAAAAGGGGTCAGGGTGAAAGCTGGGTGTGCCCACCAGGGGAGCTGGTGGGGTCTCTTTCCCTGCACGCTCCTCGGCAGGACCTTTGAGGAAGATGCTGCCTCGGGCCAGGTATAGAGTCACTAGTTGTCAGTCTTTCCTATCCCGGGACAAGGGAAGGGTGAAAACACCTGTATTCTTTTCCAGGTGGGCAGTGAAATGGAGAACAGAGAGGCAGAGGGCAGAGACTCATTGGGTTGGAGCCCCACCTCCAACGCTAACAAGCTCATGTGACCACAGACAGGTCCCATACCTCTCTGAATCTCAATTTCCACATCCGTGAAATGGGCAACTCATGGGGCCTCTCACGTGGGCTGAATGAAGTGCTATTTGGCATCAAACAAATACTTATCAAGCATCGACTACATCCCGTTCTTATTCTAGGCACTGGGGAATAGAGCCGAGAACAAGATGTAGAGAACTTTATTTTTATTTTTTTTTTTTAGCATTTTATTATATTGCTAGAAGGATAGACAATAAACAGTAATACATCAGGGAGTGACAAGTACTGTGATGAAAGATGAAGCTGGGTAACAGGATGCTGTTTTAGACAGAGCCATGGGGGTGGGAAGGCAGCTCTAAGGAGATAACGTGTAAGCAGGGATGGGAGGAAGTGAGGGAGGGGGCCATGGGGATGTCGCGGAAAGGGCATCGTGGCAGAGGGAAGAGCAAGGGCCAGTGCCCTGAGGCACCGCTTGTGTGAGGAACCGGAAGAAGACCCCCCCCCCCGTGGCTCAGCGGGAGAGGAGTGAGTGGGAGGGGGAAGAATAGGAGGTGAGGTCAGGAGGGAAGGAAGAGGCCATGTATTTTGCCCAGCTGGTTTTTTTCTAAGGCTAATTTGATCCGAGGGAGGAGAGACATGATGTCGTTTACGGTTCAAAAGTCTTTCTTGGCTGCTGAGGGGCGAAGAGACTGAAGGGGCAGGGACGGGAGCAGGGAGGCTACTGGGGTGGCGAGGCAGGGGCCTCACTGGCTGCTGTATTTAGTACAAGGGTACCCGGGGGAGGGGTTCCTGGGGGGATCTCTCCCACCAGGGAGCGCCCCCTGACCCCGCCCCTCCCCCAGTGGAACCTCCCAGCCTCGCCCCCGGGCGCGGAGAGGGGCGGCCCCGGGAAGGGCAGAGGGGGTGCGGGGCGAGGGGAGGCCAGCGGGTGGCAGGGGCGCGCGTGGGCGACTGCAGCGCGAGGGCGGGAGGAGGCAGCTGCCACCGGCCCGGGCGCGTGCGCACCGAGGGGAGGCAAATGCGGCCTGGCCGCGACACCACCCCCCCCTGCCCCCCGCCCCCCGCCCCCCGCCGCCGGGCCCCGCGGTGGCAGAGCGTGCACACCTGGGCGAGCAGGGGAGCGGGCCCGGACGCAGGCCGTTTCCGCTCCCTGAGGCCTCGAGGTCCGTCGGGGTTACATCTGCTGGAGGCGCTCTGATTTAGTCTGTGAGCAGACCGAGGGTAAAAGACACCTCCCTGCCCACAGGAAATTCACGGTCGGGGTGTGGGGTAACAGCACACCCCTGCAGTGAAAGCAGATGATGATGTTCCCGCCAAACTGGTAGGGGACTGGACCGAGCCAGTCATTCCAGCAGGGAGGAATCCAGAAGGCTTCAAGGAGGAGGCACCATCTGTGATTTGGGCTTGCGGGGGGAGGAGGAGTTCGACAGATGAAGAAAGAGGGGTAGGGCCTGCCTGCCAGGAGAACCCTGTGGTGATGGGACAGTGTCCAGTCGGCACTGCAACCCCACGGCCCAGCTCCCTGAACCACCCCGGACTCCTCTCCTGGGCCTCCTGCTCAGTCCACCTGTTCACGTGTAGCCCTATGCTCCCTGCCCTCCATCCCTCTTCACACGTGCCTTTCCTGGGGCCGGAAATCGGAGCCACAGCTTCCCGGGCCTCTCAGAGATGCTACCCCACCACTGCAGGTCTTCCCCGCTCCCCCTGGATAACTCCTGCCCAACCTGTACATCTCAGCTCCAGCCCCTATCCTCCTGGAGCGCACACATCTCGCTGGCTCCAGATGAACCGGATCTGCGAGTTCACCTGCTCTCCCCTGCCCTGGACCGATACACGATATAGTGAGGACAGGCCCTGGGGGGGATGGGTCTCCCTGTCGGCGGTGTCCGCGGTGGGGGCTGCCAACGGGGGGGGGCGGCCACGGGGGGGGGGGGGGGGGGGGGGGGGTGGCAAGGATATTGCTGGAGAAATAGGCGGGGGCCACATTGTGTAAGACCACTCAGACCGTCCTAAATGGTTTGGTGTTTATTCTCAGGGCCCTGGGAGCCATAGAGGGCGGGCTAAAAGCTAGGAGAGTGGCGTGGTAAGGTGTACCATGGAGGGTGGAGTGGAGAGGACGGGGGGCCGATTGGTCAATTAGGAGGCTGTCACAACTGTCATAGTGAGAGGGTTGTGGGCCCAAGCTGGGACAGCGGCAGATGGGGTGGACAGGAGGACACTTGGGTAGTCTTTCTTAAATTCTTTTTTATTTTATTTATTTGAGAGAGAATGAAAGAGAGAGAGCATGAGGGGGGGAGGGTCAGAGGGAGAAGCAGACTCCCCGCTCAGCAGGGAGCCCGATGCGGGACTCGATCCCAGGACTCGATCCCAGGACTCCAGAATCACCTGAGCCGAAGGCAGTCGCTTAACCAGCTGAGCCACCCAGGTGCCCCTTGGGTAGTCTTTCTTAACTGGGGGCTATTCTGTCTGCCAGGAGCCATTTGGCA